GTCAGAGAAAGATATATGATTTCAATCATATGTGGAATTTGAGAAACTTAACAGATGACCATAGGGGAAGGGAATGAAAAATAACATAAAAACAGAGAGGGAGGCAAACCATAAGAGACTCTGAAATATAGAGAACAAACTGAGGGTTGATGGGGTGGGAGTGGAGGGAAATGGGTGATGGGCATTGAGGAGGGCACTTGTTGGGATGAGCACTGGGTGTTGTATGTAAGTGATGAATCACAGGAATCTACTCCTGAAGCCAAGATTACACTGTATGTTAACTAACTTGAGAAAATACATACATACATACATACATACATACATACAGCACACTTACTCAAGAAAACGACTAAATGAAATTCTTGAAACAGAAATGAAATGATAAAAATGATAAAAGAAGGAAACTTGGAAGTCAGGAATGAAGAAAGAAAAATGGAAAGAGTAAAATAAGTGTAAATACAGTCATCTCTCCTTCTCCTTTTGTATTCTATAAATTATGTTTGACAGTCAAAGCAAAAATGATAACATCTGGTGTGGTTCTCGATGAATGTAGAGGAAGTCTTAAAAACAGTCATAACTGGGAATGGGTAAACAGACAGGTATCATTTAAACACCTTTACTGGAGGGGCGCCTGGGTGGCTCAGTCGGTTAAGCGGCCGACTTCGGCTCAGGTCATGATCTCACAGTCCGTGAGTTTGAGCCCCGCGTCGGGCTCTGTGCTGACGGCTCAGAGCCTGGAGCCTGTTTCGGATTCTGTGTCTCCCTCTCTCTGACCCTCCCCTGTTCATGCTCTGTCTCTCCCTGTCTCAAAAATAAATAAAACGTTAAAAAAAAATTTAAAAAAAAATAAATAAATAAACACCTTTACTGGAGGTAACTTGTACATTTCACTAGAACTGGTAAAATGTGGACACAGGTCGACTGTGATAATTTACGTATCTAGAAAGGGTGGCTTTGGAAGGCTGATTTTGACAGGTTGAGGGTGAAGGATAAGGTACATAAAAGCAGCATACACTTTCTAGATTTGGCAGCTGAAAAAGAAAGAAGGCTGGGACTTGAACTGCTGTAGACAGGAGAACAGGCGGCCAGTGGAGAAGAGCACTTATGTCAGAGTGGAATAACTAGGCAGAGAGAGGATGGAAGGGTTGGTCTTGGGAAGAAAAGAGCCTCTGGCTCTGAGAAGGGAAGAGGTTGGCTGAAGACACCTATTGAGAAAAGGTGAGGAAAACAGGGAATTACGTCTAATGATGACTTTCTTCTCAGCCAAGCAGGCCCCTGCTGAGAGAGAGGATAAGCCGAATCGAAGGCGATGATACAGGTTAGGTGTTCCGCCCGAGGGTATGAGCTCCAGGACAGACATTCAGGTAGTGTCAGGGAGTAAAACTCGTTTTCAGTCCCACCGCTCAAAAGCTGTGAAATGATAATTGACCGCCAGGTGGCGGTGTCTGTGGAAGCTCACGTATCCCATCGGCCCTGGCGCCGGGGCGGAAGAAGGTGTGGAGCTAATTCTCTGATTCGCATCGCCTCTACTCTCCTATCCCGACTGACGTTGGATAACAAAGATGGCTGCAGGAACCAGCAATTATTGGGAAGGTAAGGGCGAGCGTTACTGTGTGGGTCTCGCCGAGAGGCAGAAGGAATGGGTGAGGACGGGTCTTGGGGGAGGTGGCAGAGAAAAGAGCCTGACCTCCGGAGTGGCCGAGCCGACGGGTGAGGCTTGTCTAGTGGGAGCCCCGGGCCTGGGGGCTGAGGAGACCGAACGGTCTGGGGCAAGGGGTTATCTGAGAGGCTTCGGGACCTGGAGCAGGGGCTGGGCGGAGAGAGCTGAGCGCGGATTCAGAAGAAGAGGGTCCTGAGCCGCTGGAGGAGAACTGGGTTGAGAGGCTAAGCGAACTTGGGCGAAGGGGCTTGGGGCACGAACTCTGAGAGGAGACGAGTTTTGAACGAGAATATCCCAAGCCCAGGAGGCAGGAAGAGTCAGCGTTTTAAGAGTTGAGGTCACTGTTGGACAATTGAGTAGGATAAGGGAAAGAAGGAACTTGTCAGTCCGGTCCGTCGGGGGAAGTTGTATGAACGAAGTGTCTCTTACTGGGTCCCCTTGGCAGCTTCAGGCTGCGACTTCGAGGATTGGGTGTCGAGTCGCGTTTGAAGACAGAGGAAATAACTTTACCTTCTGCTGTAGAGATGAGTTTGTTATAAAGAGAAAGTTGAGAGAACCCCTGTGAATTGCAAAGATTGCATTTGCTATATTTCTGCCAAAAAACCGTCTTGAGATTTGACAAGTACCTTTATTTACTGAAAATATGTTCTGATAAAGCGGGCTCATGCAAAACCCACTCCCGGACCATGGCAACCAAGGATGAGTGAAGGCTCATCTTTTTCTTTCAGTTGCCTCTTTGCTTTATTACAACAGAAACTACTCTCTGAATCCTTTTTCTCTTTTAACCTATTTCCTGTTGCTACCCTCTGAAGTCTCTTGGAAACTACAAGTAACAGTATTGTCACTATCAGCCACTCGGTCTAAGAGCTTAATTCTAAGTTCATCCATACTTGCCTGTCATATTTTCTTTTCTTTCTTTTTAATTTATTTAATGGTTATTTATTTTAGAGAGAAAGAGAGAGACAGAGCACGAGCAGGGGAGGGGCAGAGGGAGAGGGAGACACAGAATCCCAAGCAGGCTCCAGGCTCTCAACTGTCAGCACAGAGCCTGATGCGGGGCTGGAACTCATGAACCGCAAGATCATGACCTGAGCCAAAGTCAGAGGCTTAACCAGCTGAGCCACCCAGGCACCCCTTGCCTGTTATATTTTCAAAATACTTTTATTTGATGTTTTCTACTAGGGAAGACAGTTACTAGTTACAGAGAAGCGTGGTTTAAAACGTGTATTTAAATGCCTATTTGAAATGTGTGTACTAGGTAGAAAATATTTTTAACTTATGTACAAGTGGCTGTTGTTATCTTTAATACTAGTCATTAGGCTATAGTGGGTTTTTTTTAAGACATTTTTATTTATTTTTGAGAGACAGAGAGACAGAGCATGAGCGGGGGAGGGGCAGAGAGAGAGAGGGAGACACAGAATCCGAAGCAGGCTCCAGGCTCTGAACTATTAGCACAGAGCCCAACGCGGGGCTCGAACCCACGAACTACGAGATCATGACTTGAGCCAAGTCAGACGCTTACCGACTGAGCCACCCAGGCGCCCCAGGCTATAGTTTTTTGAAGCTCCATTCTATAATAATTATAGCAGCTTATTATTGACAACCTACTCTGTGCCCGGTGCTTTAAGCACATGATTACTCATGCATAGAAAAACCCTGAAGGTAAGGAGTTTGAAAAACAAAAAGCTGAGGTTCATAGGTTAAGTAGATTTTCACTGAATCTCAGAGCCAGTTCTCAGAATCTCAGAACATTAGGCTTAGCTAAGATTCTAAGACTGTATTATACTGCTTCCTACTTCTGGTTGCTGATAAACATATTGAAATAATATTTTGTATTCCTTATTCATGAAAGATGAATCTTTACGATGTTCCTTTCTACATTTCAGCCCTTTTATTTTGACCTCCACTTTACGATGAATGAGAGTACTCACATCTAGAAGTAGCTTTCCAGACTGTGGCTTCTCTCCCTCAACCACTAGGCCAAACTACTATACCAGTGTTTCTGTTTGCTTCTGTTCTTTTAAAACTTAGGCTCTTATTTTGTCATACTTATATTTGACCTTGTTGATCGCATATTGTTTGTTGTTAATTTAAGCCCCTCTAAAGTTTCTTTCAGTAAACTTATTGAAAGACCATTTTTTAATCCTTTGTTAATGATTATTTTTTCTTAAGCCTCAGTTACTAAGTCATTCTAAGAATTTCATAAGCTTTGGAATATAAAGAGATAGGAAAATCTCTGTCAAAAACAGTGATGGTTTTTCTCTTTTATAAAGTTAGTTGGTAACTTGGTGTAATGTTGGTTATAAACCATACTCGGTTTCTTTATGATTTGTGTTCTCTTCTGTTTCCCGCCAAATTACAAAATTTTAGTCATTGTTACAGAAATAATCCAGGGATGTTAGAACATTTGTTGTCTAGCTGTCTTTGGAATACCGGTGAAATTTTTCACCTCTCCCTGTTTCTCCCCTTCTTGACCCATCTGAAGTTTAAATGAGAGACAGTTTGCTTTTCTGGGTAAATCTTTGGTTTTCTTTTTTAACGTTCTTTATGGGAGAAACTGCCTCAATTTATGATTATTTTCATAGTTTGTTTCTTCAGAATAGCTGTGTGATTTTTATGTCTGCTGATGGACTCTGTGTTTAACTATTTGCTTTCATGATTTTGTTAAAGATCTCAGGAAACAGGCTCGACAGCTGGAAAATGAACTTGACCTGAAACTAGTTTCCTTCAGTAAACTATGTACAAGTTACAGTCACAGCAGTACTCGAGATGGAAGACGCGACAGGTATAGGTACTACCAGATTCTGTCTCTTATGCCTTAAACCATATAATTTCTTAAAAGCATTAAAAAATAAACTAAAATATATAATTCTGTAACTTGGTCTATTGGTGAGTTTTTGATATTTTTTTGTTATTGTTTATATTTTAGTGGTTTATAAAAATTCTTAATCCTTGAGACTAGCATTCATTTGGGATCCTTAAGTAAAGGCCATAAAGATGTCAGGAGGAAAATGCTAAGGCTTAAGAATGAGTTTGCATCAGGGGCGCCTGGGTGGCTCAGTCGGTTAAGCGGCCGACTTCGGCTCAGGTCATGATCTCACGGTCCGTGAGTTCGAGCCCCGCGTCGGGCTCTGTGCTGACAGCTCAGAGCCTGGAGCCTGTTTCGGATTCTATGTCTCCCTCTCTCTGACCCTCCCCCGTTCATGCTCTGTCTCTCTCTGTCTCAAAAATAAATAAACGTTAAAAAAAAGATTTTTAAAATAAAAAAAAAAGAATGAGTTTGCATCAGAGATAAGTTTCTAGTTCAGCCAGTGTAAGGAAATGTGGTTGATTTTCCCACGTTGTCTGTCTGTCTTTCTTTCATTTATTTTTGAGAGAGAGAGACAGAGCATGAGCAGGGGAGGGGCAGAAAGAGAGGGAGACACAGAATCTGAAGCAGGCTCCGGGCTATCAGCACAGAGCCCGATGCGGGGCTTGAACTCAGGAGCTGTGAGATCATGACCTGAGCCAAAGTTGGATGCTCAAACAACTGAGCCACCCAGGTCCCCCTTTTTTTTTTTTTTTAAGCTTATTTATTTTGAGAGAGAGACAGCACAAGTGGGGGAGGTGCAGAGAGACAGGGAGTGAGAGAGAATCTCAAGCAGGCTCTGCGTGGTCAACACAGGGCCCGACGCAGGGCTTGAACTCATGAAACCATGAGATCATGGTTTCGGCTGTGCCAAAATCAAGAGTTGGATGCTTAACCAACTGAGCCACCCAGACGCCTCTGCCCACGTTGTATTTCTTATATCTTCTGATTGCTAAATGGATCTGAGAAACTACCCAAATGTAAAGTATACATACTGCTATTCTGGTGTTTTAGAATGAATCTAATGCATTGTGTATCCTCACTATTAATCATCCAAGCTATTTTAAATTTTGGGGTTTTTTTTGAGAAGCTTGCATACTACTGTATTGAACATATGGAAGATGTATTTTTATCTTTGAATCTTATGCTCACTTAGGCCATCCCCTTGTTTAAAAAACTGTTAGGAAATATTCACAACACTTAGGAAGGTATGAAGAATAATGGATCCTCCTGTGCCTGTTTCCCACTTGAAGAAATAATCATTACCAATTCAGTTGAAGTCCCTGTTATCATCCCATTTTCTACTTCTTTGTAATCTACACATTATGTTTGTGTTCCTAAAAAATTTATAGTATCTTACTAGTTATTTTGCAGCTCGTGTTTTTGTTTAACATTATCTTTGTGTTTAAGCTATGGATGCATTTAACTGTGGTATATTTATTTGCTACATGTAGTATCATATTGTGATAGTGTAATTGTGTATTATAATCTATAGATGGACATTGTTTCTCATTTTTGCTAATTAATAATTTTAAGGGCTGACACAGTGTTCATCATGTATCAGGTACTATTTTAAGAGCTTTATATGAAGGCTGGTAGAACATCTTTACTTATAAAAATGTTTCTGTATATCTAGCAGTGGAATTGCTAGTAGTAGAGCTGTTAGTTGTTATCCGCTCTTTATTTCCCATACTTTTCTGAGGATTGGCAGTGGGGTGGGATTATCCTCAGCTACTAATAATAAAACAATAAAGGGGTGCCTGGGTGGAGCAGTCGGTTAAGCGTCCGACTTCAGCCAGGTCACGATCTCGCGGTCCGGGAGTTCGAGCCCCGCGTCGGGCTCTGGGCTGATGGCTCAGAGCCTGAAGCCTGTTTCCGATTCTGTGTCTCCCTCTCTCTCTGCCCCTCCCCCGTTCATGCTCTGTCTCTCTGTCCCAAAAATAAATAAACGTTGAAAAAAAAATTTAAAAAAAATAATAATAAAACAATAAATAAAACAATAAATAAATAAATAAATAAATAAATCAAAACAAAAACTAAAAGTATCTGGATTTGAGCCCAGATCTTTGTATCTTCAGAGCCTATGCCCTAAACCTTTCTATGCACATTCCAACAAAAGACTCATTTCAACACCACAGCCAAAGTATTGCTTCTTTTTAATAAGGGCACATTATTAAAGAATTAAAGATAGCAGGGCCAACATATTGATTCTGGGACCTAAAAGTAAGCTGTTGGTATATCACATAGCTTTGATTGCATTACATTGCTTTGGACTTGACTTAGCACGTAAAGAAAACGAGGGATGTTCTTTTGTACGAGTAAACTTAAACTTATTTTACCACAGCATTTTTCCTGAATTTAAGTCGCCCATATACACTATGCCAGTGAGTATACAGTTTTAAAACTATGAATTGTTAAGAGATACAGTTACATAATGATTTTTCTATATTTTCTGTGCTTCATGAACTTAATACTTTTACATCTCCTTTAAAGGGAAAACTATCTTGAAAACATTTCCTCAGAAATTCTACACCAAATTGGGACTGACTTTGTAGGTTCTTATAGCCTAACTCTCCTTTCAATAAGAAACGTAAGGGCAGGGAGGATCAAGATACGATATACATTCTAAAGTGTTTTATTATTGCCCAGATTGAAAGCATGTCATAATGCATAAACTCAGTGATGATCAGAATTCTTCATCTAGGAGTAATTTTTTTTTTTTTTACTTTCTCTATTTTGAGAACTTTATGGTCAATGAATCATCACACATCTATAAAATGAATTAGATTTAACTGAACCTGAATTAAATTTAACTGAATGGTGAATATAGAGATTGTCTTCTCATTCATTCAAGTATTTAATGAGTTATCTACCATGTGCCAGGCACTTTTCTAGGTGCTTGGCATATATCTGTGAATAAGACAAGCAGTTTCCCTCTTCATGAGGCTTACCTTCATTGACCCATTGTTCTTTTTCATATATCTGGTAGAGGAGGTTCAGCATTTTTGCCTGAGCACATTCTGAGAGATAACCACAGAACTTTGGGTTGGCCCTAACGTATAATAAAGAACTAGATATTTTGATATATTTTAAGGCAAGTAGCAAATTGAGATTTTTTTAAAGTTTATTTTGAGAGAGAGAGAGAAAAGGAGGGAGGGAGGGAGGGAGGGAGGGAGAGAGAGGATCCAAAGCAGGCTCCCTGTTGATAGTGCAGAGGCCCATACAGGGCTCAAACCCAGGAACCACAAGATCATGACCTGAGCTGTAGTCAGACACTGAACTGACTGAGCCACCTAGGTGCCCCACAAATTGAAATGTTTTAAGAAATAAAAATTTGGACCTAGTTAAACATCTTAAAGTAGAAGTCCTTTTTATTAGCTACTTTTTGGTTATTTGATTGCTTATTACTATTGCTGTGAAATTGTATGTAGCAAAGGGAAATAGCTAAGGTACTTTTTTGATGTTAAACTGATGACTTACTCTGTTTTCATTCACCACACCCAAGCACTGTCACAGGACAAGCCAAAGTCTTCAGTAAGATTAAAGAGCATAGTCATTGCCTGAGTACTTATCTGTTTTCAGTATAACTGAGATCTCTTTTGAGATGCTCATAGGATAATGCATACCATTTGCGGATCTAATGAAGGCTAGTGGTTTTTCTGAAGAGGCAGAACAAATTTTCTGGACATCTGGTTTTAGAATTTGAATCTGTCAAACATAAGTTTCACTTATAAAAAGTTAGTTTTTTTGACTGGTTATTCAGATTTTAGAAGAGCTCGCATTTTTTGTAAAACAAAACTGAAACAGTTTTGTAATATAAGTAGAAATGTAGAGAGTTGGTACTGAAACTTCCTTGCTGGACATGGCTATCTATATTAGACTTAAAGCCAGTACTGATTACTTAATAACTAGTTTTCCACGGATCATGTAAATCTTAATTTTATTTCTTTTCGGTAAGAGTCCAGCCAAGAAGAGAGAACTTAATTTGAGGAGCCATAATTGCTTAGGTGTAAAAATGTAAAAAACTATTCCCAAAGATCCCATAAAATAATCCATAATACCTCTTACACCTCCTTTTATATGTGGTACTACTTAGTTCTACAGTTCTGTTTCACATAATTTGTTCCTTTAGATTCAGCATTCAGTGGGCACTGCCATAGCTTAAGTTACTTTCATTTGGGAAATTATAAACAAGCATTTGAAACTTCTTTACATTATTAAGAGTAGATGTATTAAAGCTCAGAAAAATCATATATATAATTATATTTTATACTGAATTTAATATTTGGGACATGTGTGATCTTTATAGGAAAACTTCTATGAAAATTGTAGCTTCTTAAAAAATAAGTCTCTGGGATTCCACTTGACCTCTTTAAGAATCACCTTATTATTTTAAGTATGTTTTAAAGGATTCGGTTTAAGTAATGGATTCTCTTTACTGGTTCCTCTCTTTAGCTCTGACACAACACCCCTTTTAAATGGATCAAGCCAAGACAGAATGTTTGAAACAATGGCCATTGAGATTGAACAGCTTTTGGCAAGGGTAAGTACTTTCTGTGAAATGACTGTTTTGCTAGTTACTAGGTTAGGTTAGTCACTTGTTAGCTATGGTACTCGATTATATTAATGCAGACATATTTATTGAAATCACCTTTTCATCCAAGATATGTGCCTCCCCAGGACACTTGAATTTTCATTACAGCCATTCTCAAGTCTTTTGGGTGTTATTTTTAGCCTTTATAGATTATTGAGGGGAAATACTGAATCCTTGCCTGTCGTTTTGTTTTTGGTTTGGGGGTGGTTTTTTATTTGCTTGCTGTTAGCCAGAAGCGCATACAGGCAAATATTTGACTTGTATCTCTTTATATTGCTTTTTAAAATATTTTTATTGGTTTTCTTCTCCCTCCTTACTTCCTTCCTCTTCTTTTTAGCTTACAGGAGTAAATGATAAAATGGCAGAATATACCAACAGTGCAGGTGTCCCGTCTTTGAATGCAGCACTGATGCATACATTACAGCGACATAGAGATATATTGCAGGTAGTATATTGCACTGGAGATTTTTAAGTGATTGTAGTAGGTTTTTTTAAAATCCCTGAATAGAATGTATACACATGTATTTAAGAGATTAAAGGGAAGAATCTTCTGAAATGATAAATATTATGCTGCAGAAATTTGTCTTGTTTTACCTTTTTTCCCTTGGTAGAATAAAATTCTGAAAATGATAGCTCTTGCTTTTGCCTGGTAAAAATGAGTAATATTCATCACTAGATAAATAAACTTCTATTGTGGAAGACCTTGCAATTTCACTAGCAATAATAGTGAAATAGCCAGCTGTCATGCAGAGGCCCTAATATGGTGGTTTGGAGTATACTTTCATCAGGCCTTGAAGATAATGTGGAAGGGAGGTAATATACTATATTTAGTATATTGTTTGAGAAAATGTTAGAAGTGTACCAATAAAATGAAATAAATTCTTAAATATTTACATTCAGAGATGTTAAAAACATAGAGTAAAAATAGGAAGGCAAATGTTTTTAATGTTGAAAAAATTCAGCAACATTTTCTAATTTTAAAATATAGGAATAGGACACTTTATTTACCTAATGCAAAAATGTGCATGCCATAATAAAAGCTAGCATCACATTTAATGATAAAGTACTGAAAGCATTCCCTTTGAAGAAAAAAGCAAGATAAAGATATCCACAGTCACCACAGATGTTTAATATTGTTTTGGAAGTTCTTGGTGGTACAATTAGAGATATAAATAAACAAGATCTAAATAATGGAAAGGAAGAGGCAAAATTTGCATTATGTAGCAGTGAGAAAATTAGAAACAAATTAAGTAGGATGGTGGATTACAAATTAACATATCAAAGCAAGTAGTTTTCCTACATATAAACAATAACCTGTTAGAAAATATAATAGAAGAAACTATACAATCCTTGTGTAAAAATTTAATAAGAATGACTAAGACTTGCATGTATAAAACTTTACTGAGGAACATAAAAAAAAATTTAATTAAAAAAATTTTTTTAATCTTTATTTATTTTTGAGGGAGAGAGAGAGGCAGAGCATGAGCAGGGGAGGGGCAGAGAGAGAGGGAGACACAGAATCCGAAGCAGGCTCCAGGCTCTGAGCTGTCAGCACAGCTCGAACCCATGAGCTGTGAGATCATGACCTGAGCGGAAGGCAGAAGTCAGATGCCTAAACGACTGAGCCACCCAGGTGCCCCCCAAAAGGATTTAATTTAAATAAGAGAAAAAATTATTTTGCCTTTGGAAAGAATATTTCTCTCTAAATCAGCCTATAAATTGAGTGCCTTCCCAATGAAAAGGGGCTTTTTGTTTCTTTTTTTTCTTCTTTTTTTTTTTAATTAGCAAAATGACACCGAAGTTCATTTGGATTCACAGAGATACAAGTATAACCAAGAAAAAAAAATGTGAAAATGGAGATAGGTAGTAAAGAATGACTAGTTCTACCAGATATTAAAACCTGTTAAGAAGCTAGAATAATTAAGATAGTTTGATTCTGGAGGAAAAAATATACCAACAGAACTGAATAGAGTTCGCATGGAAATTTAGTTTCTGATAGAGGTGGTATTTTAAATCAGTGGGAAAAAGAGGGATCATAAAATAAATAGACCTGTAATAATTGGCTAATTATTTGGGGGGAGAAAACAAACTTGAATTTCTATCTCAGTCCTCACATCCAGAATAAATTCCAAATGGATCAAAGATTTATATGTAGAAAAAGAAATTCTAAATGTTCAGAGTAAAGCATGGAAAATTATACATTTTGGGTAATAAAGAACTTTCTAAACAAGACCTAATAATGGAAACTATAACAAATGTCTAATTTACTTAATATACAAAGAAATAATAGAAATAAACAGATAACCTAGGGGCGCCTGGTGGCTCAATCAGTTAAGCTTCCAACTCTTGATTGCAGCTCAGGTCATGATCTCATAGTTGTGAGTTCAACTCTCTGTTAGTGTGGAGCCTGCTTGGGATTTTCTCTCTGTCCCTCCCATGCATTCTCATTCATTCTCTCTCTCTCTCTCTCTCTCTCTCTCTCGCTCTTTAAATAAATAAACTTAAAAAAAAAAAAAAAAAAAAAAAAAAAAAAAAAAAAAAAAAAAAAGATAACCTAATAGGAAAATGGGCAAAGGATACTAACTGGCTGTTTACAGAAAATGTCCAAAACCATAAAAAAGATGTTAAACCACATGCTGAAAGGAAAATATACCCATCAATATGAGGTATGATTTTTCACCTGTCAGATTAGCAAATATTGAAACATATGTAGCACATTACAATAATATAGAAAAACGAGTCCCCATCACTGTTGCTGGGAACATAAATTAGTGGTCATTCTAGAAGGCAGTTTAGCACTATCAAAATTTAAATGTAAGATTCTTTGATTCAGTTATTCTGTTAGGCATTTACTCTTTAAATACACTTAAAAAAGAGAAAGAAATTTCAATAAAATATGTATCAAAGAATGTTTATTTTTCAAACAGCATTTTTTAAACCAGCAAAAAAACAATTAAAATGTTTGCCAGTAGGGAATTTACTAAATGACAGTCATAAGATAGAATTCTATATACCTATTAAAAAGAATGTAGATTTCTATTTGTTAATATGGAAAGGTTACTTGATGTTTTATGAACTACTGAAAAGAAGGTATATAGCAGAATACAGCCGACCCTTGAACAGTGTGGGGACTAGAGGTGCCAACACCCCACCTCTCCACTCCTGTGCAGTCAAAAATTTGTGTATAATTTTTGACTCCATAAAAATTTAAGTACTAATAGCCTAGTATTGACTTGAAGCCTAACATAAACAATTGATTAACACATACATTGTATGTTACACATATTATTCACTGTATTTTTACAATAAAGTAATTTAGAAAAAAGAAAATGTTATTTAAAAAATGATAAAATACATTTACAGAACTGTACTATAAAAAATTCACACGTAAGCGGACCTTTGCATTTCAAATCTGTGTTGTTCAAGAATCAATTGTGGTATGATTTCTTTAGCATAAGTGAAAGAAATAATAGGTAAGCTTATATATACAAAAACGTAGTTCCTGAAAGAAAATACAAGAAAGTGATAATAGTTATGAGCTGTAGAGCAGGATGGTTTTTATTTTTATTACTTTTGGTGCTCTTTTAGTATTCTCCCATGTTCATATATATTTTTGTTTTTAAAGGGCAGTAGGGGCTTTCTGGGAGATTGGATTATGATTTTCATTTTCTTTATATACATCTCTGAATTTTAAAAAGTAATGAATATTCCTTAATAACTTAAAAGTATGGTAGTAGAAAAAGAAAAAGGAAAATATTAAAGATTATTCATTACAATTCTTTTGGTTCTGTTCTTCCTTTGACTGGTTTAGGAATCAAATTTCTGTGGGAGTTCCAAAAAGATGAAATTTGAAAATAAGCCCCATTCGGTGTACACTAAAGAGTCCCTCAGATTTTATTCTAGGCTATTTGGAATCATTTTATCTTAAAATTATTTTCTTCTTCATAATTCTATCTCATAAGGTACTAAAAGATAGAAGGATAGTGATCTAGTGCCACTATTACCCTACCATTGAATTGTTTTCATTTGAAAGAAGTTGGTCACTCTTCAGGAAAAGGATTATAATGTTATTTTTACTTCTTGACTGTTTGATTCTTTTTTTTTTTTTTTTAGAGGTTTATTTATTAATGTTTATTTTTGAGAGAGAGAGAGAGAGAGTGCACATACAAGCTGGGGAGGGGCAGAGAGAGAGGGACACAGAGGATCCAAAGCGGGCTCTGTGCTGACAGCAGAAAGCCTGATGCGGGACTCGAACTCACAAACCTTGAGATCATGACCTGATTCAAAGTTGGACGTTTAACCAACCGAGCCAACCAGGGGCCCTGACTATTTGATTCTTAAATAGCAGTCTTCTTGACAGAAATTTTTAATACAATGACAATACATAATGGGCTCAATAAAATGAAAATATATAATTAGCTTGTGTTGAGACTGGATGTTGATTTATTGCAGGATTATACACATGAATTCCATAAAACCAAAGCAAACTTCATGGCAATACGGGAAAGGGAGAATCTCATGGGATCAGTACGAAAGGATATTGAGTAAGTTACCTTTTATATTATTCTGTAGGATGTTTATTCACATTTAGGTTTAGAGCATATCTGTGATTAACAGCAAACTGAGTAGCAGAACCATGATTTAGAGTTCAAGGTTTCTTTTTTTTTTTTTTTTTTTTTTTTTTTTTTTTTTTTAATTTTTTTTTCAACGTTTTTTATTTATTTTTGGGACAGAGAGAGACAGAGCATGAACGGGGGAGGGGCAGAGAGAGAGGGAGACACAGAATCGGAAACAGGCTCCAGGCTCCGAGCCATCAGCCCAGAGCCCGATGCGGGGCTCGAACTCACGGACCGCGAGATCGTGACCTGGCTGAGGTCGGACGCTTAACCGACTGCGCCACCCAGGCGCCCCTAGAGTTCAAGTTTTCTAATTCCCATTTCACTGTTCTTTAAACATTGCTGCTATAATATGGATCTAATTCACTTTGCTGGACTTATCTCTAGTTTCCCCTAGTTTTATCATTGGCTCCTGCCAATCTTGACTTTACTATTTTAATTTGGCGTCCAGCTTAGATGATATCTTCCTAAGTTTTTCTCTGATCTCTTAACACTCACCTTAAGAATTTCCAATAGCTGAAGCTGTCCATGTTTCCCTTTCTGATTACCACCTACCTCTCTACCCTTTCTTTTGCCCTAACAATTATGTGTGTGCGCGCATGTGCGCACACACATATACACACATACGCAAAGACACATCTGTAACTTTATATATATTTTACATAATATATATAAAGTAAACTTTATTTTTCTAGAATCTGAAATATCTGTGTTTTCTATGTTTTATTCAAACTTCATAGCCTTATGTCAGATTATTTAAGAACTCCCAATGTTTTTATGCTGATCTCAATCCATATTTTAAATATTTGTTCTTCCATCCCTTTACCTCACCTTCAGTAATATATTCTAGCATTTCATATACACATTTAAAATATTTTTCGCCTCTGACAAGGTAAATCCATTGGGCATCCAATTAAAACTGAAGACTTTCCACTTTTGGACTATCTGTTGATGCCTATCATTGTCTCACTTGTGAGAAATTTATGACACTTTTCATAAGTAAGTGTGACCTTGTATTTCATAAACATGTCTAAGATATGCATTACCATATGATAAACTGATATGTATCGTGTATATTCTGAAAAATGTTTTCCTAGAGCTCCTTTATTTTACTACACCAGTAAGACAGTTCAGCAGCAGAAGTAATTTCATATTCACTGGATTCAAAATTTTTTGCTCAGAACTCTAATTGAGGATTAAACATAACTTTAATAGTTATGTTTCTGTCCCCCAGAATTATCGTGGAAAATTAATTTTTATTGTTTGTCTCTGTTTTATCCTTTTTTAAATGCTTAGTCTTGTGTACTTCGTAAGACACATGGGAGTAAAAAATCTAAACATTTTTGCCATAGTTAGGAATTTCGTAATATTTTTAGTTCTCAGGAACATGTAAGTCTTTTGTTTAATATCTGTACAGACTATTTACATACGGATTTTAGTGCCCCCTGGTGTAGGGGACAGCCTTTAATGTTTAGGCATTTTGTTTCCCCACAGTTGGTGGGAATTGTTAGAATATAGCCCACTGTAATAACTTGCTTTCTGAAAGATAATCATAAAAGAAACGTGTTCATCCATTTATTAAACTATTTCCTGATTACCAGCCATGAGTAAGACACTAGATAAGTCACAGAAGATGGTAGAAATGAAAAGACCAACTTAGCCCTCTAGGATTTTATAATATAGGAGCTAGAAGGAGTAAGACACATACTCAAATTAATATAATACAAAGCAGAATATGATTAGTGAGATGAGACACAGTAGCAATAACTGACATTAAATTTTTAAAAAATTTTTTAGTTTATTTATTTCAAGAGAGAGCGAACAGGGGAGGGGCACAGAGAGAGGGAGAAAGAGATCCCAAGCAGGCTTCACACTGTCCACGCAGAGCCCCATGTGGGGCTCAAACTCACGAAACACGAGATCATGACCTAAGCCAAAACCAAGGGTCAGACGCTTACCCCACTGAGCCACCCAGGTGTCCCAGTAATAACTGACATTTAAAAGTTTTTTGTAGTTGTACACTATTCCATATATTACCGCTTTTTTGACTTCATTCTTTTGGTATAAGTTAGAAATCATTAGTCCCATTTTGTAAAACTAGGTATTTAGAGACTTATCTAAGGTTGACTGGCTAATAAGTGATGGGAGATAGATTTACATCTAAATTATCTGTCTTCCAACTCCAGTGTGCTCTAGGTTATTTCATGCTGCTTTTTCTGAGGTTTTCTTTTTCACTATACTTTGCAAATTAACACTTCCCCTTAGCCAGTAGTTCAGTTTTATCAGTATGGCCCTCTTGTCTTACTGCAGTATATGTGCAGTTACTTGAATTTTTTATTTTGTTCTTAATACTTTATTGTGAGTAAAGACCAAAATCATGAAAGTGTTGATAGTAATGATAAAAAGCATTTTCTTATAAATTTTAATGCACTTAAGACCAAGATAGAAATCCTTAAGTATGCCAAAATGGGCAGATCTTCAGTTGCATTTTAGCTCCATAGGCTCCAGTTGATAGACTGCATGTACCACTGTGAAGGAAAACATTGCATGGCAGTAGCTTCCCACCCCATGTGCTGTGCAGTGATCAGTTTTAAACTTTTACTTCCACTTGGAGACAATAAAGATACCATAATAGACAATAATAATAATAGGCAAAGGAAAATAAGATTTTTGTTTAAGAACGTTGGATGATTTTGGGGTGCCTGGGTGGCTCAGTCGGTTGAGCATCCAACTTTGGCTCAGGTCACGATCTCACAGTCTGTGGGTTTGAGCCCCGCGTCAGGCTCTGTGCTGACAGCTCGGAGCCTGGAACCTGCTTCAGATTCTGTGTCTCCCTCTCTCTCTGCTCCTCCCCTGCTTGTGCTCTATCTCTCTCTGTCTCTCAAAAATAAATAAATGTTAAAAAAAAAGAATGTTGGATGATTTTGGTGAAAATAATAAACATCCCTAAATTAAAGAGGCAATAATATTTATCGATTTATCATAAATGCCATTTCTCTATTTTGTTCTAGGTCATATAAAAGTGGGTCTGGAGTGAACAACAGAAGAACTGAACTGTTTTTGAAAGAACATGACCACCTTCGAAAGTAGGTATTATTGTACACATACATATCATGTAGTTTCCCATACTTACTAATTCCTTTATTGATGTAATAAACATTTTGTTTTTTTTTTATAGCAAACGCTTTATCAGTGCTAATTCATTTAATTCTCCTAACAACCCTCTTTGGTAGAAATGGAATTGTAACTGTTCCAGCTATAATTAGGAAAGATATTATGCTACTGAATATCAAAAATCTGCATTTACATCACTTGTTATTTGTAATACATCTTTTGTCACCTTAATGTTTCTTTTCTTTAGCAAGTCTATTCTTCTAATACATTTGTACAGTACTATACATTATTAGTAATAATAAGGATGCTAAAAATGACTTATGTTTGAGTGGTCTGTTACCACTTATTTATGCCAAGAAGCTTTATAAAGACTAATAGGCCAGGGTGCCTGGTTGGCTCAGTTGGTTAAGTGTCTGACTTCGGCTCAGGTCATGATCTCTCGGTTCATGAGTTCGAGCCCCACATCAGGCTCTGTGCTGACAGCTCAGAACCTGGAGCCTGCTTCAGATCTGTGTCTCCCTCTCTCTCTGACCTTCTCCTGCTCACGCTCGGTCTCTCTCAAAAATAAACGTGAAAAAAAATTAAAAATAAATAAAGAGTAATAGGCCATACACCAAATCTTTAAAAATCCATCAAAAAGAGAATATCATATTATCTAAGAATTCAGAAGAAAATGCCTAGAAACTTGAATGAACTGTATATATATTTTAATGTAAGTCACCATATTCTATCCCTTTTTCATCTGTGTTTTTCTCTGCAAGCTACTGGTTTCTTTAATATTTTCTCTGTATTTTGTTGTAGAACTTAAGGATCAGAAAGTTACTTATCTCTGTGAGGTCAGCCTCAAAGCACTTGAGCAGCTAGTATCTATGATAGTTAAACATTACAAATTATGTTGATATTTGCTGCTGAATATCATAAACTAGTCATGTCTATATGAGCTTAATGTACTATTCAATTTATTTTTCTTTGAAGATCACCACTAAATATAAGCTGTTGAAATCAGAACTTAGAAAAATCAAGACCTTTTTAGAAGCCTGAGTTCTTCTAGTGTTGGATATAGTTATTAGTGTTCCTTCTTAGTCTGTTGAATATTATTGACTGGCACAAGAGGGCAGTCTTTCCTAGAGTATGTTTAGTTTATAGTTACTCGTAGCTTTGGTTATTCTTTTTGTATTTGATAAAAACCACCAGAATAAAGAACTTTGCATTACATCCAAAGCGATGTTAACATATTCTTTAGTTATAGAGTAAATTTAAGGAATAAGATACTTAATACTTAAGTATCTTATACAAAATAAAGGTTAGATTGCATCAATGTTTCTGTATTGTCTCAAAAAGATGTTTAAGTTAGAAATGCAATAGTTGAATTACTTTAGGAATGATATGTTTGTTGCTAAAGAGTATACCAGAGTAATTACATAAATTAATATCCTTTGTTTCATACTTTCAGGACACACTGTTTATTATAAATTTTATATGAAAATTTGCAGTTTTGCATTTGTGTTAATAATCAAAGAAAGCCTTTCAGGAGTTTTGTATTGTCCATTTTACAGAAAAAATACAACAGTTCAGGGGCACATAACTAATTTGTTTATGGTTATAAAAGTGATGAGAAGACTGAAAATCAAAATGTGTTTTCCATTTTTCTCAGTTTTATATATGCTATACTTTATATATATATATTCCTTTCAGTATTCTTGTGAAAAAGTTTGTGTGTGTTCATTCTATATAGAGAGAAACTGAGGCAGGATGAATTAAATGGAATATGAGCTTCTGATGAATCAGGGAAGTTGTTGAGACTGAAAACAAGAGCTCAGTCATTGCTCTCAATGTTGGATCACAGAGCTTCCAAATACATTTTGGAAAAATCAATCTTTTGTGTGTAAATTACGAATATTTGGTAGGTAACAAAATAACGTAAAATCATGGATGATACATGTACAAATAATACAGAAAACTCTGTTTTTTCAATGTCCTCTCTATTTCATTGGCTAAGTGGTTTGAGTCACAATTGGCAAGATCTTTTAGAACTTTTTTTCCATACAAAAGCTATAAGTGCTCTTTGTAATAAAGTCCTTGATGTAGAAACTATGAATAACACAAAAAAAAAACCCATTCAAATCACTCGTTAGTACAGATTCTCTAACCATTTTTTACTCATCAGTATATTGTGAGCCTTTTTGCATGTTATTTGATCATTTTTTTTATTGTTTTTGCATATATTTTGTAATACAGATAAACCAAAATTTAACCATTTCCTTAAAGTTGGCCTTTTGGATTATTTCCAGTTTTTATTATTGCACATATTGAAGTCTTTACAAATATCCATAATTACTTCCTTATGATAAATTCCTAGAACTGGAATATATTCATTTGTAAAGCTTTTGGCATATTACTGTCAAATTTTCCTCTGAAGGTTTTCTGGTTTAGAGAGCTATTAGTAGTATATATGTAAACATGTCCCAGGGTGCTCAGTAACACTGAAATTTTGATTTTTTTTTTTTAATTTATGGCAAGATAGGCAAAATTTTTCAGGTAATAGATTTTTTTTTTTAATATGAGGAATACATTTTCATTAAAGAAACAAGTTAAATGGCCAAGCAAAAGAAGCATAAAGAAGTAGTAGTTAAATTAACCTAAAAGTGATTATAGGGGCATCTGGGTGGCTCAGTCTGTTGAGCTTCCAACTTCAGCTCAGGTCATGATCTCGCAGTTCCTGAGTTTGAGCCCTGCATCGGGCTTGCTGCTGTCAGCACAGAGCCAGCTTGGGATCATCTGTCCCCCTCTCTTTCTGCCCCTCCCCCCACTCATATTTTCTCTCTCTTTCTCTCCCTCTCTCTCTCTCTCTCTTTCAAAAATAAACATTAAAAAAATTTTAAGTGATTATAGAAACCTATAGTGGTTATAGATTATATAGTTCATCAGTACCATTTGTAATTAATAGGCCAGATTTACTGGTAGGGTAATTTTTATGTTGATCTTTCATGAATAAAGGCATTTAATACCCAGTAACTCAGGTAACTAGTTTGATTTTGTGCAGTAGCATTGGACTTTTTATGGCTAAAAACATATGTAGATTTTTATTTGATTCTTCATAACATTTTTATGTTAATGTAAATTTCTGCAGCTTATTTCAAAAATATGTATTTTTCCCTTGAGAAAGATTTTTATAAATGAATGCAAACTTTAAAAAATCCTAACTTTGTAATTATTTTTATCAGTTCCCATTAACACTTTTTGTCTAAACATAAATGTTGTTAGCTTGTAACAGTTTATCTCATGAAAGATAATAATTTCTCTTCTTGTGGATAAGGTAGCTTTCATTTCTTACTTGTCTCTGAAATCTGAGTCTGTTTCAGTGTATCAGTCAGAATAAAATGCTGATTTTGCATTAGTGTCAAGTTTATAGCTATTTGTTTTTCCCTGGGCTATAATGTAGATGCATTCCTGTGAGTTCTTTACTTGCTATTTAGATTAATTCTCTTCCTTTAATCTGTTCTCTTTCATTGCTCTCTTATATTTTCCTTTTTGAAAAAATATCTGAATTAGTTTTGTATTTTAAAGTTCTTTTTTTCCCTTAAAGGAGTTTTACCTTTATGACCTCTCTCTCTCCATATTTATTTTATGTATATATTTTTTTTAATTTTTTTTTTTTCAACGTTTATTTATTTTTGGGACAGAGAGAGACAGAGCATGAACGGGGGAGGGGCAGAGAGAGAGGGGGACACAGAATCAGAAACAGGCTCCAGGCTCTGAGCCATCAGCCCAGAGCCCGACGCGGGGCTCGAACTCACGGACCGCGAGATCGTGACCTGGCTGAAGTCGGACGCTTAACCGACTGCGCCACCCAGGCGCCCATGTATATTTTTTAATGTTTATTTACTTTTGCGAGAGAGAGAAACAGAGCATGAGCAGAGGAGGGGCAGAGAGAGAGGGAGCCACAGAATCTGAAGCAGGTTCCAGGCTCTGAGCTGTCAGCACAGAGCCTGACATGGAACTTGAACTCACGAGCCATGAGATCATGACCTGAGCCACAATCAAGAGTCAGACACTTAACCAAATGAACCAAGAACTTTTTTTGTTGTTTCTTTCATAGCATTTATGAAAATATGTAATGATCTGTTTGGTTTTTGGTATTGTGATGATGATGATGATGATGATGTGACTCTCCTTGAATGTAAGCTTCATAAGAGTAAGGACTTGGTTAGTCTAGTTCTTGGCAGTGTTGTGCCCCTAGTTTGTTGTATCGTAGACACTTAATATTTATTTCTTATATAAATAAATGGATGTAAACAGAAGGTATTATTTTTGGTTTCATATACATGTATATGTAGGACACCTGTTTCCCAATATAGGAAACGTGTTTCATTCATTTACTTACTCCCCAAATATTTATTGAATACATACTGTGTATAAGGTACTGGTCCAGATGCTACATATACATATAAAATCTGATTTTGAGAACTAAAGGGGCTATTATTAATGTGATGAGTTATTAAAAATCAAATTCTTATATGGTATATATTAACAGTCTTTGGCAACATCTCTCTTATTTACAGATAAGAAACAAGATTCAGAAAGGACATAGGCCAGGGTTTCATAACTATTTAATAATATACTAAACCCACATTTCCCAAACTATTTCCATATTTGTCCCACATCATATTGCTTTCCCTGTGACTTTCTTCTTTAAAATTTTATTTTTCTTGTATTAGGGGGCCAGCATGCATAATGCTATTAAGAGTTGAAAGATCAGTTGCTTTTCACTTCTCTGAAAAGCAAGTGACCTGGTCTCTCTGTATCTGTTTTTGTTTGTTTGTTTGTTTGTTTGTTTGCTTGCTTTTTGGGTTTTTAGTTTTTTGTAATGGGATTGTAGCTGTCCCTTTATGTTATGTAATTTTCAGGAAGAATAGCTTAAGAGTTAAGGCATTATAAAATACCTTAAAAAATCTAAAGAATTTGTTTCACA